TTCTCCAGGAATTTTGTTCTGACGTCCTCAATGACTTCCTTCCTACTTTTCCTCGAAGTCTTTTGCAACACCCTCCGGAAAATTGCTATGCCCCGGATGTTTCCACCAGCTTCTCCGGAAAGATACGTCTTATTTCACATGGAAGCTTCTTCTAATTTTGCAACTTTCATCCAACTTCGCTTGGAAGTTTCTTATGACATTCTTCGGAAATTTATTTCAGCTTTCCTGGATGTTTCTACTAGATTCTCTCTCTGGAAATGTCCTCGAACTTACCCGGGTTATTCATTACCTGTTTTCCTAGCAAGGTGTTTATCTGAATTCCCTAGAAAACGCTTCCAATTTTTCAAAGAAGATTTTTTCACCTTCCACAAAAGGCTTTTCCAATTTCCACGGGAAGTATTTTCACAGTTCCTCCGGGAATTGCTTTAGAATCATCGTAAAAGTTGCGTTCAACATTTCGCAGAAGTTTCTGCTAGCTTCTCCGGAAAGGTACACCTTATTTCACACGGAAGCTTAATCTAAATTTGCACGAAGATTTCATTAAACTCCCTTCTTGCTTTCCCGGAAGTTTCTTCTAGTTTCTCCCTCTGGAAGTGTCCTCCAACTTACCCGGGATATTATTTACCTGTTTGCCTAGAAAATTTCATCTGGCTTCATCAGAAGGTGCTTCCGACTACTCCTAGAAAAGTTTTTCTACTTCCATAAAAGTCCTTCTGGCTTCCCCTGAATGTGCGGGAATTTCTTTGAAGATTCCTCCAACATCCTCCGGAAGTTTCAGCCAGCTCCTCTGGAGAGGTTCTTCTAATTTCCTCATATAATTCAGATAAGTAACTAAAAAACTACAAGGGACAGCCCTATGGGGTTGTTCGCAATGGTGACGTAGAACTACGTGGTCTTATATAATAAATCTTATTTGTTAACTGCAGCAGGAGCTTGTGTTTTGTGTAGTAATAGGAATTTAAGCGGGATTTTCTCTGTTTATACTCTTTATATGACGCGCTTGACATAGATAGCCCACAGCGACTCACGAAGAGCTACTGATTCCGATCAATAGCGGTGTGGATTCTTCCTCCTATGGATGCTCATGTAGGCCCTAGCTCGCTGCTTGCAGGCAGCCTTTCGTTGTGTACTGGAGAACACCACCACTCACATGGAATTCAACTTTTAAATCTGTGTTAGGGAAATCGCTTTTCATAGGCAATTGGTGATAATTTTAATTATCATAACAACAGTTGCACATGCGTTCAATTTTCAATAGCGATATTTTGAGAAATGATGAAGTTAAAAATTTAACAGATGCGTAGAGATATTTCTGATCGATTGGTGATAAAATTATTGAAATTGGTCCAGGGGCAGCTGAGTTATTACCGTTCAATATCTTTCATAATTTTGTAACATCTTCTATTTTCGATTTTCACAAAGTGTGCCTCCATGTAGAAATCACAGACGTAGTCCTACGTCAAAAATATAGTGGAACAAGAAACCTAAAGCAACGTACTAATTAACTGACTGTTTTGGAAAGTTTCAAGTTCTAGAAGCTGTGTGTAATGAAAGTTCTCAGAGCATCAGAGTTCCCAGGAGTTTTCTGGGTTCCAGAAACAGCTAGATTTGTGAAAGTTTATGCAGTTCTTAATATTTCGGAAGATGCCCTGAGATGAGATGAGATGGATAATAACTAGGTAGGTCATGCCTTTTCATACACATTTCCTGACAGTTCCGGAGTGATTTGAGATTTGGGCGTAATTGTATTTGTAAACAAACACGTCAATCGCCGATTTATCGCGAATAAAAGCTCAATTTTGAAAACTAATAACACTATGAGGTAGAGGTATGATTCGTCTATCATTTGATATAGTTTGTTTATAAGATTGAGCTTTTATTCATGAGAAATCGGCGATTGACCTGTTTGTTTACAAATACAATTACGCCCAAATCTCAAATCACTCCGGAGTTGGTGAAAGGTCATTTTGGATTCAAGCTACTGCACGGATAGGTTGAACATTTATTAACTGCGTTGTGGGTGATTTGCCCATAATTAATATCGGCGGATTTTCACATTTCTGGCGATCCTGCCAGGAGACGAAGCTGGAATCTTGGAGACCCCCGATAGGTAATAAAGGGCAAATCACCCACTTTCAAGGAACATTGAATTTGAATGCAACCGGAATGGCCGTTCTGAGAAACGGATGATGACGGATTTGCAAAAAAAAAATAGTCTACTCGTGGTGGCACGGCCACAGGATAACAACGCGACCGGGACGGTCGTTCTGATTGCGAGTGAGTACAGATTTGTTGAAAACTTCTCCTCGCCGTGGCAAAGCCATATGAGAGAACGCGACCGTGACGGCCGTTCTGAGAAAACGAGTGAGGATGGATTTGCAAAAAATCGTCTCCTCGCAGTGGCCAGGCCACAGAAATAGAACGCGACCATCCATACGTGGCTCGCAATAACGCCACGTTCAGTGGCCGTAAGATGAAATACGTTGTACATTGCTCGAGCCATGCCGGACAGACGAGTGGGACTACCTTACCTGACCCAGCGGGCTCCTAACTCCTAACGGGATGACTGAAGGAGCTGCTCTCCCAGGCTCACATAGACCTGGAGTAGCGTGATACTGAAATTCTAAGACTAGACTTAGGTTGTTGAGCTGCGGATCTTGAAGGCATCGCTCAGTTCCCCGGAGGAACGTTCAAACTCCAGTGACGCCGTAACGGTGCGGGGAACACCACCAACGCAACGGATGAGTGTAGCAAAGCCAGTCCCCGGCATCATCTGCACAATCATGGCATCCACCAGGTACAGTTCATGGACAAGATGTCAACCTCGGAGATCCAGAGCTCGTTTGCCGATTCGAGACATTTCGAGGACATTACGACCTCATCAATCCATTCCAAGGATTCGTACATACACACTAGACTGATGCAAAATTTGAAATTTTCGCTCCACAGTGCTCAAACGGTTTCAAATCAGGTCCTGATTAGCCTCCCAAAATTTAAACTCATTTGGTAAGAAACTGACTTGGCACAAACTATTCGAAGTTTATATGGAAATTACTATGGGAAAACCAAACTTTTTGTTCATTGTCTACTACCCGTTTTCCATATTGCTTTTTCGAAAAGTTCTTTAACTATTCTTATGGGAATTTTTCTAAGCTACAACTTTGCCGAATATCGTTTTTCAGCCAAATGTCAAATTGAATAGTTATTAATTGTTTAAGAGGTTGATAATCTTATGGCATGATCAAGCAGCTGTTATGTTAGCAACACTGTATTCTGCAGTGTGACATAAAGGGTGATACGGTCCAAATTTGGTCAAGGGAAAACGCGTGTAAATCGGTGAAATCGTTTATTTAAAAAATCAAATTAAATTTCTTTTTCAAGTTCAATTAGTATAAAATTCAGGAAAAATATTCAGTTAGGCTTCCGCTTTTCCAAATCCGAATTGCCGGGCCTTACGCTTGACCCCTGCCATCAGATTTTGTACAGCCACCTTGTCCACCTTCTTCGCCGCAGAAAGCCAGTTTGCCTTGAACTGCTGCTCGCCCTTAGCAGTTTTTTTGGTCTTCTTTAGGTTCCGCTTGACAATAGCCCAGTATTTCTCAATTGGGCGGAGCTCTGGCGTGTTGGGAGGGTTCTTGTCCTTGGGAACCACCTGCACGTTGTTGGCGGCGTACCACTCCATGGCCTTTTTACCGTAATGGCAAGATGCCAAATCCGGCCAAAACAGTACGGAACAACCGTGTTTCTTCAGGAAAGGCAGCAGACGTTTATTCAAACACTCTTTCACGTAAATTTCTTGGTTGACAGTCCCGGAAGCTATGAAAATGCTGCTTTTCAAGCCACAGGTACAGATGGCTTGCCAAACCAGATATTTCTTTGCGAACTTTGACAGTTTCATGTGCTTGAAAACATCTGCTACCTTTCCCCTTCCTTTTGCCGTATAAAACTCCTGTCCCGGAAGCTGCTTGTAGTCGGCTTTGACGTAGGTTTCGTCGTCCATTACCACGCAGTCAAACTTCGTCAGCATCGTCGTGTACAGCCTCCGGGATCGCGCTTTGGCCGTCGTATTTTGTTTATCATCGCGATTTGGAGTCACTACCTTCTTGTAAGTCGATAGTCCGGCTCGTTTTTTGGCTCGATGCACGGTTGTAGACGATACACCCAGCTTATTTGCGGCATCTCGGAGAGAGAGGTTAGGGTTTCGCTTGAAACTACCGGCAACTCTCTTTGTCATCTCAGCGGCTTCCGGTTTTCGATTTCCCCCCGATCCAGACTTCCTGGCTGTCGACAAACGTTCCCCAAACACTTTAATTACATTTGTAACGGTTGATTTGGCAACTTTTAGCGATTTTGCCAACTTTGCGTGCGAGTAGCTCGGATTTTCGCGATGCGCGAGCAAAATTTTGATACGCTGCTGTTCTTGCTTGGACGGCATTTTGACAACTGAAGAGTGAATTCCAAAATCAAAATAGGATCAACATTCTACACACACACACCTTCAAAATGAGGGGTGTTCAGGTTTTTTAAATGCAAAATTGAAAGAAATACGTCAAGTTGATATTGACCAAATTTTGACCGTATCACCCTTTAGTAGCCATGATATTTGTGCTCTATTCTTCTCATCAGAAACACCAATGTTGCCTGCTGAATAGTTGAATGAGCACAATCATAAGACATCAGTGACTTGAATCATTAATAACTTTTGTTCCTTACATTTGATTGAAAATTGGGTTTCAACATAGTTGTAGCTGGGAAAATTTTCTACAATCACTGCTATCATTTTTAAAAGAATAGTGATGTGGTGAATTGTTAGATACATATGAACAAAAACATAAGTTTTCCCATAGTAATTCCCATATAAACTTGAAATGGTTTGTGCGAAGTCAGTTTCTTACTAAAGTAGTTCAAATTTTGGGAGGCTAAGCAGGACCCAATTTGGAACCGTTTAAGCACTGTGGAGCGAAAATTTAAAATTTTGCATCAATCTAGTACACACGCAGGATCGTGCTTGCGGAAGCGACGATGACATTGATGCCCAGAAGCAGCGGCTTGTCGAGATGTGCGAAGCCCGCATTAAGGAGCTAGTTAAACAGCAACAGGCAGACGAACAGCAGAATCGCATGTCTAACAATGATCGCGTTGAGGCTTTGCTGCAGAAATTGTCCGAGTCGTACAGTAGGTACTATGATCTGATTCCAGGCTACTGTGAAAGTCACCAGTCGATTAACGTTGTCAAAGTGAGTTTTAATTCTAGACGCAGCCGATGCCGCCGATGTCGCTAGAAAAAGATACGGCGATTTGTTTTTGTTTATATAAAAAAAAAAACTACAAGGGACAGCCCTATGGGCTTTTTCGTTGTGAACTGGAGAACGCCACCACTAACCATGCGGTGATTGAATAAGCAACGTTTGGTGAGACCGGATGGAATTCAACTTTGAAATCTGTGTTAGGGAAATCGCTTTTCGCAGGCAATCGGTGATAATTTTAAACATGAAACATTCGTGAAATTTTCAATAGTGATAATTTTAAAAATGATAAACTCTTAAATTCAACAGATGCGTAGAAATATGTCTTATCGATTGGTGATAAAATTATTGAAATTGGTCCAGTGGCAGCTGAGTTATGGACGTTCAAAATCTTTCATAATTTTGATACATTTTATATTTTCGTTTTTCACAAATCGTAGAAAAAAGACAAGAAATCACAGACGTAGTTCTACGTCAAAAAAAAAAATAAAAAAAAAACAGGAAATACTGGTTTCAATGTAAAAATTGACATTTTTTGCGGAACACATCTACAAAATCTTGTTTTCCCTGATTACGCTAAAAAAAATATGAAAATAAAATCAACACTCCATACATTTTTTTTTGTTAACATTATGCTAAAAGAAAGGTGGATGGCGCCATGTAAAATTAAAACTGACAGCATTCAGTAATTCATTATCATTAATTATTGTTCAACAAAAAAAAAATTGTATTACTTTTATACCGAAGGAGAGGGAAGATATGAGATGGATAATAACTAAGTAGGTCATGACTTTTCAAACACATTTTCTGACAGTTGGCGAAAGGTCACTTTGGATTCAAGCTGCTGCACGGGTAAGTTGAACATTTATTAGCTGCGTCGTGGGTGATTTGCCCACATTTGATATCGGCGGATTTTCACATACTGCAGTTCTGGTAGTTGTGGAAGGAACTTCACATAAATATTCGCTAGGGAGAATGAACTTAACCAACCAAATGTTCTATAACAGTTTATGTATTCTTGAGTGACTAAAATGGGCAGTTTTTTTAATAGCTAAACTTTTAACAAAATTAAATTAATTAAACAACATACTTCTATGGAGCCGTTAGAGTGAACAAGTATTTACGCCCTTAACTGGATCACTATAACGTGACACAAAATGCACGAAAGTACACTTTTCGTCACTAGGTGAATCTTTGTCATTGCCGAAAGAATAAATGAGATTTTGACGAATGTTTTTTTTTAGTGAATTTTTCCAGTGACGTTGTCAACCATAATTTTGTGAATATCGCGTGAAGTCTCCCAATGACAATGACAAATCTCAGTACAATGGTCGGTGCCCCTAGCAATATGTGACGGCTTGTTTCACCGCTGACTGGTCAATATAGCCAACGGAATTCCCTGGACTAAAGAGGGTTGAGCTACGCCATGAGCTCGTCGAGCCAGATAATCGACCTGACACTTTCGCAGTCCAGCAGCTCCTTCATTAAAGCCGCCCCTGCCCCACTCATCTCCCTAAAACCCGCTTCCCATCACCACTAATATGATTAATGAAGAATAATGACGCCAGTGGGTGCTGAAGACGAAGATTCCCTCCTTGGAAATAGCGGCTCAGCAGACGGCACAAGACAAGCACATATGCCAACGAGACAAAGGAACCGGATTTATATCGTGTTCTTATCCCTTCCGAACCTCGAAACCTTCGGTATTCAGGCACCAGTCAGGCTTTTGACGAATGTGTGTGCACGCCTCGGATCTTTGGCATGAATGAAAGCATTTCACTTTCTTCGGCGTTGAACGACGTTGATTTATGAAACAGTTGTGTGCCTACCTGTCGGAATGTTGTGCGAAGGTGGAACTCAAAATATTTTGTCAATTTTGGGGAAAATTATGTAGGAAAACATCCGCTCCACACGCAGAGAAAACTATTTTCATATCTAATCCACGAATTCTCCGCTGCTGGTAAAGCTCACAGCCTAGAGCCGGAGAAAATTTCACTGCCAAGTATTTACACATCGCTGAAGTCAAATCAAAACTGTTTCACCTTGTTTGATGCCATCAAGTAAATGGCTGGGGATGGAAAACTTTCGACTCTAATGAAGCTAATTAAGATTAGGAGTGATGATTTCCAACTTTACCTTCATCTTCACTTTGCAGCAACGAAAATGTAACGAAGAGTTGGGTAACCTCCTACTTTTAACCGATGGAAAGAGCTGTTGATTATGGTTGCCCCCTTCAAGTGGTGTGGGATTCGGGGGGGGTCGGAGGCACTATTAATCGAAGTGCCGTGTTTTATAATGAGCCCTACTCAGTGTGTTCATTTGCATGTTTGATACGACCAAGGTTGGAGCCTTTTGAAGGAGAAGTGTGTTTAGGGAAATGTGTGTAGGACGAACGCTTACGTGCGTGACAAATCAGCGAAAGGAGCGCTGTTTGATATTCAAATTAGGGCTCGTTCATCTTCGTTGGGGCGTTGATGGTTGATCGATTCTGGGAAACGAAGTGGATTGAAATTGAAGGTAACGAAGTTCACGCAAAATTTGAGGCGACGTGGGTTACGAGATTTCGATGTACAGTCAAGATTCCTATATTGCGGATTCGTTCTTGCCGGATTCCTATAGTATTGATGCCACTGGATTCCTATAGTACGGTCGATCCGGCATTAACGAATACACGTAGCATATGGGATTAGAGCTAATTGGAACTAAACACTGATTGTACGGCAATTTGAAGAGATAACTTCCTGATGTCTTTTGAGAAGTTGTTAAGCAGAAAGTTTGCCACCTTTTGGGACGATTCAGTTTCCGGTAGGACACAAGTCTGGTCCTGTGGAAGATCCGGAATATCCGTAAAAATGGTCAATTCAAGAAACTGATCCTAGAGCTCCGCGGATTTTTCGAAAACACTCATAAACGTCTTGTACGTTAAAGTTTTGTCCGGAATATGGGCCCTTAGGACCACGGGACGGTTCACCGGAAGATCCGGAACATCCGTAAAAGTGGTCAGTTCATGAAACTGATCCTAGAGCTCTGCGGTTTTTTTTTCTTAACAACTCATAGACGTCTTATCAAAATTAATTGTGAGTGTTGACCAGAATATGAAACCTGGGGACTACAGAATGGTCCACCGGAAGATCCGGAATATCCGTAAAAGTTGCAAATTCATTAAACTGATCCTAGAGCTCCGCGGATTTTTCGAAAACACTCATAAACGTCTTATCAGAATGTATTCGGAGATGTGTTCGGAATATGGACTCTGGGGACCACGGAATGGTTCACCAGAAGATCCGGGACATCCGTAAAAGTGGTCAGCTCATGAAGCTGATCCTAGAGCTCTGCGGTTTTTTTTTTCTTAACAACTGATAGACGTCTTATCAAAATTAATTCTGAGTAAAACAGAAAAACAGTTAAACAGTACTTATAACCCCCTTAAGTTAAGATTTTGATAAGTTCTTTAGTGGGAATGACACTGATGAAGACTGCACATTGTAGTCGAAATACGTATCTGTCATGGATACCAAAATTAATTAAGTAGAATTAAATGGAAGATAACCTTTTTTTGCTTTTTTGTTTAAGCATTCCGCTAACAACCCAATTTCATTATTTCATTAATTCTGAGTGTTGACCAGAATATGAAACCTGGGGACTACAGAATGGTTCACCGAAACATCCGGAACATCCGTAAAAGTGGTCATTTCATTTAACTGATCCTAGAGCTCCGCGGATTTTTCGAAACCACTCATAAACGTCTTATCAGAATGTATTCGGAGTTGTGTTCGGAATATGGACTATGGGGACCACGGAATGGTTCACCAGAAGATCCGGAACATCCGTAAAAGTGGTAAATTCATGAAACTGATCCTAGAGTTTCGCGGATTTTTCGAAACCACTCATAAACGTCTTATCAGAAAGAATTCGGAGTTGTGACCGAAATATGGGTCCTGGGGACCACGGGATAGTTCACCCAAAGATCCGGAACATCCGTAAATGTGGTCAATTCATGAAACTGATCCTAGAGCTCTGCGGATCTTTCGAAACCACTCATAAACGTCTTATCAGAATGTATTTGGAGTTGTGACCGGAACATGGGCCCTGGGGACTATGGGATGGTTCACCGGAAGATCCGGAACATCCTGAAAAGTGGTCAATTCATGAAACTGATCCTAGAGCTCCACGGTTTTTTTTGAAACCACTCATCAGAATGAATTCGGAGTTGTGACTGGAATATGGGCCCTGGGGACTACGGAATGGTTCACTATTATATCCGGAACATCCTTAAAAGTGGTAAATTCATGAAACTGATCCTAGAGCTCCACGGATTTTTCGAAACCACTCATAAACGTCTTATCAGAATGTATTCGGAGTTATGACCGGAATATGGACTCTGGGGACCACGGGATGGTTCACCAAAAGATCTGAAACATCCGGAAAAGTGGTCAATTCATGAAACTGATCCTAGAGCTCCGCGGATTTTTTGAAACCACTTACAATAAATTCGGAGTTGTGGTTTAAAAGTGGTTAATTCATGAAACTGATCCTAGAGCTGCGTGTTTTTTCGAAACTGCTCAAAGACGTCTTATCACAATTAATTCGGAGTTTTGACTGAAATATGGATTCTGGGGACTACAAGATAGTCCATCGGAAGATTCGGAACATCCATAAAAGTGGACAATTCATAACACTGATGCTAGAGCTCCGTGAATTTTCCGAAAACACACATATACGTCTTATCAAAATGAATTCAGAGTTGTGACCTGAATACGGACCCTGGGTACTACAGGATGCTTCAATAGAAGATCCGGAACATCCGTAACAGTGATGAATTCATGAAACTGATCCTAGAGCACCATGTTTTTTTTCGAAACCGTTCATTACAATTATTTCGGAGTTTTCACTGGAATTTGAACTCTGGGGACTACAGGATGGTTCACCGAAAGATCCGGAACATCCGTAAAAGTTGTCAATTCATGAGACTGATCATAGAGCTCGGTGAATTTTGCGAAACCACTCATAAACATAGTTGAAGATGCTAATTTCAAATAACAGACTAAAGTGGTAATTTTTATACGATAGATGGAGGAGATGAAAGTATAGAGTTGATAGTTCCGTTAGAGTACGGCAGTGTGAAAATTGCATATAGATAGACGATAGCGAGCTAGGACAACTTTTTTTTTTTTTCTTTGTTAAAGAGACTTTCAGCCTTGGGCTGGTTCGTCTCTGGCGTCTAGGACAACTTTTAAGGAAGGTACAAATCGGTTTTTTCATCTCTCTTTACCAAACTCCCCCTTTGGAGAGGTATGGTGAGGGGTGTCCTCCCCCCCGCCACCACTGGCAAAAAGAGATGAACGCCGACCCGCTCAAGTACCAACGATGTGTTTGAAACAGTTCTACCGCACTTTAGTTGTTATTTGAACATGGAGGCGAACCAGCCTAAGGCTGAAAGCCTCCTTAATAAAGCTTAATAATAATGTTATTTGAAGGAAGGCATCCAGTCGTAGGTTTGGAAATTGCAGCTATTGCTTACCCCTACCCTGTATGTGCTCCTGTCATCAACTCTAGACTTTCATCACCTCCATCTATCGTATAAAAATTACCACTTTAGTCTGTTATTTGAAATTAGCATCTTCAACTATGTAAATCGTTGACTTCACGCAGAAGTAATACTAAACATATTGTCAAAGTACATAACTCTGGATGGGAGCATACCATCAATTACTGTCATTGGTCGTAAGGTACAGTAGCAGCACCTACCCCACCCGTGTCCCTTCGAGATCGTCAAGTCGACGATGACAGGAGTACATACCGTAGTAGGGGTAAACATATAGTCAAAGCACTCATAAACGTTTCATCAGAATGAAT